ACGCACGCCCAGACACGCACACACGCACGTCCATACACGCACACACGCACGCCCAGACACGCACACACGCACGCCCAGACACGCACACACGCACGCCCAGACACGCACACGTTCTCAGGTCTTCGTTGTTGTGCAATGAAAGAGGAGACAGAGAGGATTGTGGGTAGAGGTCTGATCTGACCACATTTAATGAACACACTCCATGCGGCCCGTCTGTCCAGTCACATGGTCGCTACATCTCGTCTCATACAATATACACGGTTTCCTTTGTGCCGGCGGTGACTTTGTGCGGATGACCTCGGTGCTGATCACAAGCTAAGTGGTTTTATTATGGGGGGTATCTGGGTCTGTGAGGGGCTTTCATTGGTGAATGGAGGTTTATAGAAGATGGCGCCGGGCCCCTGAGGGCCCCTCATGACGGGTCATCTCACCTCCTAGGACTTCAGAGAGTTCCCGCCGTCGCTGTGCAGTTTGAGTGTCTCTAGAAGTCCACTTCCCCCTCATAAAGGAGGATCCCGCTGAACAGCGTCAGAGGCTCGTCGGAGTGGGCCAGCTTCCCGGTCACCAGGTCAATGCAGACGGTGTCACCGGCACTCAGCGGGAGAATGATATTGAAGACCCCGAGTGAGCTGGAGGCGGTCTTATTCTCCACCAGGGGCTTCTTCTCCAGGCCTTCCGGCTGGTAGCCCTCCGAGTCCACCCGCGCAATGCCAAGGTTAGATTTGGACAGAACCGCTTCAATCTTCTCATCTTTGTAGCCGGACAAGATGGCGCTGAAGAAATACCGGCCTTCCACGGGGGCAGTGAAGATACCTGGAAGGAAAGGGCGTGTGGCGTGTTACAGACAACCGATCATATGGACTCCTCCCCCATGCGTGGAGATAAGAAGGGACCAGGACTAGCCATGTGACCTTCCAAGTGACCTTCCCACTGACCTTCCTACTGACCTTCCCACTGACCTTCCTACTGACCTTCCCACTGACCTTCCTACTGACCTTCCCACTGACCTTCCTACTGACCTTCCCACTGACCTTCCTACTGACCTTCCCACTGACCTTCCTACTGACCTTCCCACTGACCTTCCTACTGACCTTCCCACTGACCTTCCTACTGACCTTCCCACTGACCTTCCTACTGACCTTCCCACTGACCTTCCTACTGACCTTCCCACTGACCTTCCTACTGACCTTCCCACTGACCTTCCTACTGACCTTCCCACTGACCTTCCTACTGACCTTCCCACTGACCTTCCTACTGACCTTCCCACTGACCTTCCTACTGACCTTCCCACTGACCTTCCTACTGACCTTCCCACTGACCTTCCTACTGACCTTCCCACTGACCTTCCTACTGACCTTCCCACTGACCTTCCTACTGACCTTCCCACTGACCTTCCTACTGACCTTCCCACTGACCTTCCTACTGACCTTCCCACTGACCTTCCTACTGACCTTCCCACTGACCTTCCTACTGACCTTCCCACTGACCTTCCTACTGACCTTCCCACTGACCTTCCTACTGACCTTCCCACTGACCTTCCTACTGACCTTCCCACTGACCTTCCTACTGACCTTCCCACTGACCTTCCTACTGACCTTCCCACTGACCTTCCTACTGACCTTCCCACTGACCTTCCTACTGACCTTCCCACTGACCTTCCTACTGACCTTCCCACTGACCTTCCTACTGACCTTCCCACTGACCTTCCTACTGACCTTCCCACTGACCTTCCTACTGACCTTCCCACTGACCTTCCTACTGACCTTCCCACTGACCTTCCTACTGACCTTCCCACTGACCCTCCCACTGACCTTCCCACTGACCTTCCCACTGGGTAAGTGTCCCCATAGATGAGGAAGGATGACGGGTAAGTGTCCCCATAGATGAGAGGAAGGATGATGGGTAAGTGTCCCCATAGATGAGAGGAAGGATGATGGGTAAGTGTCCCCATAGATGAGAGGAAGGATGATGGGTAAGTGTCCCCATAGATGAGAGGAAGGATGATGGGTAAGTGTCCCCATAGATGAGAGGAAGGATGATGGGTAAGTGTCCCCATAGATGAGAGGAAGGATGAGGGGTAAGTGTCCCCATAGATGAGAGGAAGGATGATGGGTAAGTGTCCCCATAGATGAGAGGAAGGATGATGGGTAAGTGTCCCCATAGATGAG